AAAAGAACCGCCCGCCACTGCCTCTCATGTAGAATTTTAGGGAGTTTCACGGCCGAGTAGCCAGGAAAATAAAGCGAAAAGGGAGATACGAAGGAGCCTCGTGATTTTTAGCGAAGCGTAATGGGCATTTCGGTTATCTATGGATTTCTATTTTTTTAATCCAATCCACCCCTATCTACTAAATGTTGAAAGAGCGATGCTCGACTTCAAAAAAAAAATATACAAATTTCTGTATTAAAAGGAAATACAGGAATCGCGAGGCGTGACCTTATCCCTGTGCTAGATACGTGAAATTTGAAAATACGATAAAATTTTTTAAAAAGTAGTCAACCTTCGAAATGTAACCATCAAAAAGTAAGTATGGCAATTCTACCTTAAAATCATCTACTCGTATAAACTTTCTTATTCCTATTACCATAATAATTCCCGTTTCGTAATGATCTTTTGTAAAAGTAAAATGACACCTTTCAAGAAGTCCATGGTATTTCACTCGTTTGACACTTTCAGATGAGTACACCTCCCAGGACCTCCTTCTAAACTGAAGTACAGTGCCAAACATTAATGCCGCCCCAATTTAGTGTAAGAGCTCAGCCCCATCATGTACCGAACGCTGTCCCTATTCCCCTGCTTTGTCTTTTACGAGCCTCCCAAAAATTCGATGCTTGTCAACGACAACCATAATACTATCATATCCATATATCGATATAGGTATAGATCACAACGATAGGTGTCATAACCACCGATTACAATAATGACCTATAAATATTCAAAATTGCCGATTTCTGAAAAGTGCCGATTTCTTTTAACAGTTTTCTCGTCTTTGACGCCCCCGGAAGCCATCCCTTAATAATACGTCCAAAAACCAATTTCAATTCACTATTTAATCTAGACGTTTTGGTATTTAAGGAGATTGCTAAAGAAGTGATCATCATGGTTTTCGCATAGATCTTCCAAGACAGTCTTTGCATGTGTTACCAAGGGATGACTTTCAGCGCCAACGTACTTCGTTTTCAAATTAATAATCACATCGAGGACTTTCCAGTCACTTTTCCTAATCATTCAAATATTTATAGTTGCGATACCTATTATTCTAGCAATATATGGATATCATAACAATATAGTGTCATTGACGAGCATCGACATTTTTCGAGACTCGTGAAAGGCAAAGTAGGGGAATAGGAACAGCGTTTGGTGCATGGTGAGGGTAAGCTCTTACTCCAGTTTGGGAGGAGGCATTAAAGTCCGGCACTGTACAGGTACCCAATGTGCTTTTCCGTAATGTATACTATTTACTGTTTCCTAATGCCGTAAGCAGTACAAAGTAAACATTCCACTTTCACGACGCTGATAATCTACGCAAAGAAAAGCATACCCCCCTTTATCAATAGAATGACAAATATTTATAAATCAATATCAGTACTGAAGCAAACATATGAAAAACATCTTTGTATTTGAGAATAAAAAAAATGTCAACGTTTGAAAGGTACTTTTTTAGTATAAAATTTTCATATAAAACGTCCCTCAATATACTTGCGTATACACAGTTTCTATACACCCTGCATATCCTATGAGATGCAAATAGATCCCTAGATTATTTACTAAGGGCTGTATATATATAGTTTACTTTTTCCTTATACGTTCAATAAAGGTCATTCCGAAAGCTGAACACTTGCAATACCAATCGAGGATGATTTTCACCCCAATATAGTTTGTGATCCCCCCACGTCCGTTGACGTCCGTTGAAATATCCGGGATACGTTTCATCCCCCCATAAACAGCGTGATTCCCTAGGAACTTTTATAATACCAAGTCCGGGTAGCCACTGTAAGTCCTGCGGAAATGCTGGAATTCCGGACAGAACGTTAAACGTATCTATTGCGCGAATTCACGTCCTTGCCGAGTCTCCATCCTGCAGGATAACTGCTCAATGGATCGTGTCATTCCTTCGAGATGAGGTTTGTGTGTGTGAACAGATGCGAGAACCTCTATATGAGTCCGTGTGTGCGAATCCCTGCTGGGGTAGGGGGTGGCAGAGTGCAGACACATAGAATCTCCAGTATATATGGAGGGTGACGCTTAATGTCCTGCGAAAACTACTCTTCGTCCTTTTGTAAGGATAACATGGAAAATGCAAAAGTTTGAGATCTAGGGAATTAGTTTATTGGGTTCATTTTGTGGAACGAGAAAAATTCTGGGATTTTCTACTCGTACCGCCGTGACATTATTTTTCGTACAAATGCATTATCATTCGATGGATTTAGTTGGTTGAATAAAAAATTTCTTATAGGGACATTTATAGGTATAAGCTTTTATTTTTCCGTGGAGAGAATATTATAGAATCCTATGTAATTTTAATGGTTATTTGTACGTGTGTATTACACTGTAATTTTGTGTTGTATAAATTTTAACTTGTGGATAAATTTAAGATGCAAGTGTAAGAATCCTCTGTAAGTTCTTGGGGCCAGTTCAGGTTGATACAACCTATTTGGATTTTCGGCAACATGAAAAAGACAAAAATTGTCTTTTCCAAGCTTTAGAACCGATAAGAATTCTTATTGACGAAGCAATGCATATGATTTTGCCAAGGAAAATCTGTAGAAATTGAGAATTTCATTCAGGTAGGAAACATACCGATAGGAAAACTCTAGATATTCAAAGACGTTACTGCAAAGAATGAAATTATATAAAATATACAGACAGTATATACGTATGTTCTAACTATACGGAGAAAAGTTTTATATGCATTTCAGAAATCTACTCATTGGAAATTTTACTGGTGTAATCGGCTGTGGTAATACCGTTAAGCTGTTTGTAATTCGTAAAAAATTCAATATTAAACCGGTTCGCCTTATAACCCGCTTGATGCTTTCAAACTCTCATATATGCAAGCCGTCAAATGAATTCGCTGGATATTGGAACAGAAGGGAAAATCACTGACATATATGTATAAGGGCGCATAATTACGCTAAATATAACATCGATTATTTAAAACTTGAAAATCGTGTCGAAAGATAATCAATATCAAAATTTTCATTGTTAATGCATAATCAAAGTTTATCAATGTTTTAAAAAAAAATTATGCGTGCATAAAATTTTCTCTCTATGCTTATATCTAGCTATAGATATAGTATCGAAAGACTCATAAAGATACGCGCTAAAAAACTATATTCTAGTGACTTTTTCTTTTAATTTGCTTCTATTCATAGCGCCTTTGTCATACGCAGATACATAGAATATATTTAAATCTCTTCTTTAATCTAGTGGAGAAATCGAATCCTCGTGCTAGCGATAAGGAACCGTCAGAGTACAAGTGGGAAAACAGAGTAAAAAGGAAGGTAAAAGGTATTTTCTCTTTTATCTTTTTCATATACGAATACAGGGAGCCGCAAAGCTTATTTTAGCATATATATATATATACTTAAAAGGGTTTCGCCGTTAGGGCGTCATGAGTTTTGAAATATTAAAAAGTTTCAACAACCACAAATTTCTAGAACGTAACTGTGTACAAAGTTCAAAAAAGGACTCAATGAAAATCGAATCAGTGGTTCGCGTGAAAATTCACATCTCGAGCTTTAATCTCCGTTGAGATTTTTCTTTTCCCTTAACAAAAATAAAAATTGACTTTGAATTTATTTCGATGCACGATAATCCCGTCTGAAATTTTCCAATTGCCAATGTTTTTTGCCAAGGGTAGTATGTGGTAAATGAGAGAAAATGAATGAAAAATCGTTAATTACCTTTGGCAAAATAAATTATTGGCAATAAAAAAATTTTTACTACGGGTTACCTTCCCACATCGTACAAACGTTTTTGCGAAGACGCACCTCGAGTTTCGTGAATTAGCATAATCACGGTGATACCTCATAGCGCACCATATAATCCGATGACCACGTTCATACTCCACGGGGTGTAATTTCTCCATTTCCACCCCCAACCTCTTTTCTTTTTTCGGTGGTCGACCTCACTTAATGGGATTTTTCAGGGCGCCCTTGGGATTAAGGCTGCTACCAGCAACATATGTCCCGCTTGTCCCTGTATGCAGAGCGTGAACCAGGTTTTACGGTGTGAATCCCACCCTCTTATGTGAAAAGTTAAGAGCATGACATAACCATTTTAACCAAGGATCCCGTTCACCATGTACGAGAACCAAAGTAGTCTCACTTGTGCCTGGCCCTTCTTCCTACTTGAGCATACCTACTATCAGCTTCCCTATACACTCCACTTTAGGTGTGTCGCCATTTTTACATTTTATAGGGTTCTTACGGGGATAAGCTTTTGCGAATAGCCAAATTCCACTCGACCTATGCCTGATAACGTTTTACCATCTTGAATCTGGGGGCGCTACCTGTGCGATGCATTTTGAAAGAGAAATTCATCGAAGGTCGCCAAGTGCTCGTTATCGTACGTTATCGAACATGTGAAAAATATAATAAAAATAAATAGCGTTACACGTAAGATTTTGACGTGCGACAAGTAGCTGGGAACTTTGAAACTGTCGGTTTTGAAAACTGGACCAGAAGCATTCGCCAGAGAGGATCACGTTATAGACCCCCCATCGCAACCCCATAGAATGTTATGCCTAGCATCTCCGACGGGGCTTTAGAATTTCCAGGAGCAGTGAATCCTCATAGAAGCTCGAATCATGCAACCCACTCTATGGGATGCTCCGAGGATGTCGCCATTATTCTAAACGTTGGAATAGTTTTGCCACTCTTCGTGCACATCAATTCGACACCATAACGTTCCCATTAAATTTTATACCCTAACCTCATTCTGTAGCATCCTACTTCGAGCGCACTGCAGCATACAAAGATGACGCGTTCCTTTTTTCTTTCTCAGGTTGGTTCTAATATATTTTGGATCGAAACTTAAAAAAAAGTTATGGCTAAATTGTATCATGTATTTTTACGGCACTTTCTTAACACTTACTCACAGTCGTTTCCATTTTTCTACATTTCAAGCGTACCATTGATTCGACGTGAATGTCTTTTATGTTTCAGGCAGCTCGGCCCATAGTCTTTCAACCAGTTTGATCTTCTTAATGGGACAATTGTTAATATTCGCAGCGAGCATTCTGTAAAAATCCAATTTTCATGGGTAAGTCAGTTCAAAAGAAAATGTCACTCGTATAGGCAAACGTTGATTTTTTATTATGAAAAAAATATGATTTTTTGTTTGTTTTTAATACTTTCAATTCATATTGATCAAAATACTGATTGATGTACTTTGTCCATTTATGAGATTATGTAGATCAGCTTAGCTTGGGTTATATGATCTAAATTGTATTTATATGTTTCCAAACGTTTTTTTCTTTTTTTTCTTGATTGGAATCTATTAAAAATATCTATTGAGTATATGACATATATTTCAATTTTAGTACGGATATAATATATGGATATAAGAATATATAATATCTAGGACTCGTATACGAGTCCTCTGCCAAATAAGCGAAAAGTATTTTAAAAAATGACTTTCATTTTTTATTACAGATGGACAGTGATGGATCCCATAGTCAGATGCGTACGTGAATAATCTTAGTTTCATCAGTTTCTTGGATATTTCCATGGGAACTGGTATAAGATGGGAGCAATCGGAAATTGAGAGACCAAGCGAAAATTAAATACCGACCGATGGTCTCTGTCACGTTTGTTCAGGTGGGAGTATATAAAGAAGGGATAGAGGGGAGAGAGAGAGAGAAATATTTCAACTAATTCTAATAATTTTATGAACGGTCTCCCATTTTAAAAATCTTTCTTTGTTTAATAAGTGCGGGAAAATGCACGTCCTCGGAATATATGTGTGTATATATTTACAGATGCAGATGTGCACGCGTGCGTGATGTGAAATATCACGCGTGCGCGTCTTGCAAAAATAGAAAAAAAGTTAAACAATGAATGGATATAAGTGTGCGAGTAATGAAAATTTTAGAAAAACAAAATTCGATAATCACTCGAAAGCGAGACACCAAGGCTTGGCGTGTTCTTTTATAAAAGTGTGATGCGACAATACGAAACCAAAAAGTAGGAGGGACGAGAGGGCGGAAAAAATGGAAAGAGAGTGAGAGAGAGAGGGAGAGAGATTGAACTGTACCGTGAAAAGGCACTAATAGCTCGTACACGGAATTTCAAAGCTGGCTAAAAAGAATCCGTTGCGTCGCTCGCAAAAAAAAAAAATGTTTAAAATAACGGCCAAACGACTAAATTCAGTTTTGCAATATTTTTAACGATATTAATTGCGTACGCATTGATTATGTAATTTCTGAAATTTGTAAGTATATCGAGATACTTTGAAAGGTCAAAAGCTAAAAGCAGTTACGTAATGGACGAAAAATCCATGAAACGGCAAACGCGCATGAAACAAAAATGGTTAGAGCAAGTTTGGCAAATTGCATTCGATTCGCAGATCAAAGCGTTCCAAAGCTTCAAATATTTATTTCACGTGCCCTTTTCGTCTTTTTTCGTCTGGCTTTTTGGATTTTCAAAATTTTCACTAATCAATCAGACACGCCGATTATTCATGAAACTGCAACTGGCCTATGTACGTATCGTTGCAATTTGCCTGAACTGCACGTTGGAGAAGTAAAGGCATAAATGCATGTGTCGAAACTAACGTGCAGTAACGACCGACCCCCTGTCTCTCTGTACATTGCATATACATACACAGACATATATAAATAAATGTACCAAAAAACACTCGCAGAGACACAATTGATAACGAGCGTTTTCATGTAAATAAGTTAATTAATTTAAAAAAAAAAAAAATAAGTAGAGAGGTCCGTACCGAGTGAAACTTTTAACGTTGACGTCATAAGTTCCATTCCTTATCAAAAAGTTGGACGAAGTGAGAAAAGTATATGTGTATTTATAAAAGGGGGAAAACAAAAAAAAGTGGAGGATCGAAATCCGGCGATTCTTAACAATTTTTAGGTACGTGACCTTTGACACCCTAGTCGGAACAGCTAATCACGCGAATCTATACCAAATAATACGATACAAGGATTTTACGTGAAGAAAAAAAGAAAGGAGTCAGTCTTAGCAGTTAAGGCCTAAAGAATGGAAAGAATATGAATGATGAATGATAACAGAGATATAATATTGATATATTGTCAGATTGAGAGAAAAGATATGAAGATATTAAAGTTGCTGTAAAGAAACTTTTTTCGTTTCATTTTTTTTGTTAAAAAAAAAGTGACAAAACAAAGTTTTGGTGCACAACACCAAATACACGATATGACGTGCACGTATTTTTAAGGTAAACAAGATTTTGCGATAATACAAATGAAAAGTCAATTGTCTATCGATTAAAAAAATAATAATTTATTGGAAATCCATATCGAATCGCGCGCCGCTTGTTCTATCAGTACCGATATTACGATTTTACATTTTGGGTTAATATTTTTAAACGGTACTGTACGTTGTATCGTGAAAAATTCCAGCAATTATTTATTTAACGATATCGAACAAAGGAATAACGGATTGACTTCTGTTTGTTATAGATTTTATGGACAGTTAATTAGAATAATGAAAAAAAAAAAGGAAAAACTATTTGCCCCACGAGCAGTTGCACAATTTATATCTGCCTTTTGTATCTATATTTTCTTTTTGATTCGATTAATATATTATATATAGATATATATTGGTAAAATGAAAAATATCAACGTCGAACTATAATGCGTAAACTCATGTTCCACGTTGATTTCAATGTATTTGATTAATTTGTAATTTTGTAAAAAAATAAAGGACTTCCGTTGGTCCACGAGATGGAGTAAGGAAGCTCATGCAATAGCATTTTAAAATAAAATAGAAAAATAATACCGGCATCCCTTCAACACTCTTTTGTTATTATATATTTATACAAGAACGATGAATTGGAATATGCCTATCTTTCTTTGCTCTTTAGTTCATTATGTTTTTACACAGGTACGCACGAGCTTTCAATCGGAAAAAGGAAATAAGGACGTTTAAGTGAAAAAATGAAAAACATTTATACCGACCAATCAAGGTTCAGCAACGGTGGTGCCACTGTTATTTCGTGCATTTTCATTAACGATTCGTTTTTATTTAATAGAAAATTCCCAACTCCATTCGTATTTGCGAATTTTCAGTAACCTCCAACCACAAAATGTGCGAAATCGTATATGAGCGTTTTGGTAAAGCTTTTGAAAAGATTGAATAGGGCGTGGTTTGATGGGGGATGATGTCGATTGTTAAAATATCGAGTTTGAATGTTCACAAGGCATATTGTCGGACAAACAATCAAGCAGTATAATAGAAAAATTTTCAATTGTCAAAATTCTATTTTTTTCTTTCATTATCTTTATTGCTTTTGTGGAAATTCGTTTAATCACTTGATAACGATTACCTTTGTAACTATTAATAGGCTATTAAAATGGAACACGATAAGTATGACAGTGATTGTATTTAGGTTATGATTCAGTCATGGGTAATAATATCAATCCTTATACAGAATACAATTTAGTACCGAACAAAAGAACAAATGAAAACAATATGTTTAAATTATTATTATTGTCTCCTAGTTCTATACGTGGATAATGAACGTTTCGTTTTGAACGATAAAACCAATTGTATGACTTTTTTGTAAATTGTTACATTTTGTGAAGCAGTCTGGATTACAGAATTTATTCGCCTTTTCAATAATTTTTTGAAAAAAAATTGTTGAATTTTATTGCTAAAAGAATTTTTATTTTCAATAGACCCAATTCAATGATGACGTTCTTGTTGGTAATTCTGACTCGAGTGATGTTAAGAGTAAGAAAAATTATGAGAATTTAAAAAAAAAACGTCATCATTGGCTAAATGGGGTATAACCTACAAAAATGGAATGCGAAGATGATATATTAATATTATAGCATATTTACAAGAGCAAAATAAATATCACGATAGGAGAGAGTAAAAGAAGAGAATATAACGTATGAGAGTGAGTGAGAAGAAAGGAAAATGAGGAAGAGAAAAAAACAAAGGAAAGCTCCCAAAACATATATAGAAATTGGAATATAAAATCTAATCGTTAATTTTGAAAACCTGTAATTTTCTGGCAATTACCATTTAGATATTTCACCTGTATGAATATCGAGACGTTAAATGAATTTTTATTATATATATTAAAAAATAAAAGGTTATGAAGAGACCTCAATAAAAGTTCTTGAAATAAGTGCAAAACTCATTGATGATGTATGTGCGTGTATGTGTCGAATTTTGTTTTCTCTTCTCTCCTTAACATCTGTAAGTAATGCGTCTCGCGAAAAAAAAAATGTCACCAAAAAAATTCTCACCCCTATCGTAACATTTTAATAATGAATAATGACAAGTGTGTAAATAGCTTATAATTAATAAATTCGCGTGAGAAAGAGAGAATAAACCAAAAGAAAGAAATAAAAACTCGAAAAAATGGTCACTCTATTATATGTATATTGTAAATACTAATAAAAATTGTAATTATCTATTGATACGATCATCTAATAATAATAATAATAATAATATTAATAATGATGATGATAATAATAATTTCCGCGCTTAGATCTAGTCGTGGACAATTGAAGCTCGATCGCATCGAATTTTCCTTATAAAAACAAATTGAAGAAAAAATTATGGAAATTCCAATAAAATAGCAAGGATGAAGTCTGAAGGAGGGTGAAGAAAAATTATATGTACACCTTTATAGACGGTATAGATACATACCCCGTATAATTGTACATACAATTATGTGTATTGTATACATATATACCAAGGAAATGACGTATTTCCAGGACATATCAGGATGATTTCATGAAAAGCTCCAATGGTCACCGTAAATGTCACCGCTATATATCGAAAGCTCGATGCGATAGAAATCCGAAGCTTTCGTTTACCTGAATCATACGCTAGGTGGTACTCCACACTTTATTTTTAACTTATTTATTTATACATTTTTCTTCTTACTGGGTAATTCTTCAATCCCTACTTTATACATTTTTTAAAAATGTCCTTATCTCCGTTTAGCATTTTTTCTATTTTCCTTTTTTCATTAATCGTTATCCCCTCCGTACAAACATACAGCTCCCACCTCTCTATGTACTGCAACGCACCAAACCTCCTCTGCTTATCACCCATCCAACCTGAAACTCCTATACATATACCGATCTTCCACCCCAAGTTTTTACTTTGCTATTGTTGTTCTTGTTGTTGTTGTTGTTGTTGTTATTGTTGCGACAAGCGTGTGTTGTAATTATGGATTTTCAATAAAAGCATCGGGACTGATATGAGCTACGACACACTTTTTTGTATCTTTTATTGGTTCTTATGTATGGTCTTATGTATATCCATATATATGTGATACATATATATACATATATGTGATACCTAATCCTCGAATCGTTACGTAACGTCCTGATTCTCTGTAAGTTTCCAGCAGATAAAGAAAGTAGGGCATAGGAAAGATGTAAAAATAGAAGAAAGAGAAAAAGGACAATCGAGGGAAATTCTAACGGTAGAGCGTAATTGCTGTTAGAGTGAAAGTTTTATGACTGTTACGAAAAAAATGTCATAAGGTTCCAAAAGATTCTTACAAAATCGAGGATAAATCCTAGAACTCGTATAGTACGCTTATGGGATCCTGGCTAAGGCGCCGCCATCTGGCACAGCGTTAAAATTACTATAAATGATTGTAAAGAAAAAGTTGACAAGGTGGAGAGACAAAATAAAACAATAATTTATGTAGTTGACCGACTTTTTTTAACCCCTAACCAATCAATTTGAAATCCGATATCGTTGATTCTAAAAAGTTCATATTGCAAATGTAAACGTTGCATTTTTGAGAGCATAACTAATTTTTGGGTATTCAACGAAATTATGATGGGACTTCTGACTGATAAATTTACTATATTTCTGATCAGCACAGCGGCAAATATTTTCCAATGCGTTTTGCTTGTTAATATGTCAACATAGTATGATACATGTACGTACAGTACAGTCTGGAAATGAGCAAAACTTATACATTAAATATTCGCAAATATCAATAACGCTTGCAAGCTGACTCTATAAATATTACCCTAGTAAAGAGCTTACAGGCATTTCATAATATTGCATAAAAAAGCCCAGCCACTGGAAAAGCCCAATGTTCAACGACTCACTGTGAAAATGGTAAAAAAAGTAAAAAGCTCATACAAGAAAAAAATGAACGTTCCACGTAATATGGTAAATTAAGGAATAATATCAGAAGACGGAAAGTTCCAAAGAATCTTTTCAAATATTCTACGAACAGATACAATAGCGTACGATCAATTTCTTGCTTTTCACTTAATAATGTCTTGTAGAATGAAATATTAGGAGTACCTAATATATGATGCCCTTTTTTCAAATTGCTTAATAATTTAAGAAAACGACGTTACTAGGGGTAGGTACCTCTTACACAATTAAAATTTTTTCTTTCATTGTACGCCTAATAATACCTGTATTATACATTTTGTACATTAACTTTCACTGCCATAAATAAAATCCGCAATATTGATAAACGTACATTAACTAGATAAATCTTTCCGTTAAATGATCTCACGATAATTCGAAATAGTCGTTAAGTCGCGCAAGCGCAACGTGTGATGCGCATGCGCAGACCGAACGGTCCTCTAGTTCCATGAGCTTTTCCCTGAGTAACAAGACAGCAATCGTATACTCAGTCTATCGTAAACTGCGGTGGGGTCCGGATCGCGTCGGAAAACTTTTCCATGAGATAATAATTCGTATTTCAATCAACTTCGGATGACCTTGGAATAATGGAACGCGAAAAGAAGACTATTAATGTAAATTAATGTGAAGAGAATTAATCGTGATATATGTTTATTCACGTAATATATGTAGTTTCGTGTCTAGTGACGATTAGTGAGTCTAGTCTCTATAACTTACCAGAGAATCCACGACGCCAACGCGAGAAAAGAACAATTTCTTGCTGAATAAACGCGTTTTTAAGAAACTTCTCGAAACCAGTCAATGTATGTATATCTTTGCATTTTAAAAATGGTGCAACGTGCGGATACTACGAAAATTTTTAAAAATTATTGCACGAATTTCGCGTGTACAAAGTTTCAAAGGGCCACAAGTTATTCGAAGATAGTTTTGTGAATATTCAAGAAAGGATAACAATAATTAACATCAAATGTCGCGATAACATTGAAAGTGATTAGCAACTTTTACAATCGTTTAACTCGGGTAATCGAAATTTTATAACCCAGTGCAAAGTTTAGCAAAGAAAAGGAATAAGTCGATGTCAGTGAAAAATGATTAACATACTCTGTTCATGTTTTAAAGAAAATTTGCTTTGTACGGAGTCAATGGGTGATTGATACCACATTGTGTATCTTAATCGCTAAATGATGCAACAGTCGTGGCCCGTTTTGTATATTTATCATTGAAGTTCCTTTAGGAACCCACAACTCAGATGAGCCTAGTCGTATTAAAGTTTAATATGTTTATCTGGTAAATTCAAACATTTTACCCTGTCTGGCAAGGGCTTCCTCTTAAGTATGTATTGCACGTAACGTTCTGCTAAAAAGACTATCCTTATAGCGTGAACGAACTACAATGTTTGACCCATTAATCGTAGCCCAATTAATCAAAAGAGTGATAAAGTGTTACTTTGTCGTGAGGGAAAAAAGAGCCATGGTACTTTTAGCAGTGTATTAAAGAAATACGGAAGGGGGTGACAAAATAAACGTTATTCAATATTCAAAACAAGAAAAATGTATATCAGGGTTACGGACCATCTGATCACTTTTGTGCTGTTCCTGTTGGTCATATTCGTTAAAGGTAAGCTCGATAAAAATGTTACGAAATCAAATTTTAACCTTTAGAGAATGGAAAGACGATCTTTTGGCTTATGCTCCTATAGAAGAACTTAAGGTATGCTTAAGTTAGTTATCATTCTCCGATCTATTCTGATTTACTTTATTACCAGAAAAAGATGTCAGAGAAGGAAGAGAGATTAGAGCGAAGAGAGGTGGGATATCTCTAGTAACTTTGGTATGCTTTCGATACGAGTATTGTCGAGATTAAGAAATCTTCTTTTTTATTTTCCTCCTTTTCTAATTTACATTTATAAGTTTTTTATTTTATATCAGATTCATACTTCGATTAAAGCTTGCTCGTTTAATGCTATTACGTTTAATATTCTAAATTTTAAGAATGTATCCTGAGCGTTAATCGGAATCTTAGTGAACCTGCTTTTATGAGATATTTGGATACAAATTATGTGAGCAATCATAAAAACAAGATCGTGTTTTTGTGCTTGCTGTATATTTGTAACAATAATATACGTATTTTATGAAAAATATATTTTTATTACCGGAATGGACAGGAAGTCAATTTTTCGAATCCATGTCGGTCTTATACTTCTCACAGAATATTACTTTAACATATGTCTTAAAATTCTTAGTAAAGAATTGAAAAGTCGTAGAAAAACCCGCCCGGCCACTAAATATAAAAAAAATTCGTAATACCCACCAGTGAGGTACTAGATTTCGTTATAAAGTGGCAGAACTAAAATGTTCTTCAGATTGCAGAATCTTTCGATTGAAACTTGCTTGTTTCGTTCTTGATTTCTTTATGAACCGAAAAATACAGAATTTCTTATCACGTTATAAATTCAGCAGACTCATAAATAAATGTTTTTTTTTTGTTCACCCTGCACCATTTTTCACCCCACTTTTTGCTCCAGCTCCCTTATCACTGTGAACTCGTGGCGACTTATGGATTTTTCACATGCTGAAAATTTACAACAGCCACGGAGTATAAAAATAACCCCCTCTTTTCCTTCTTGTCGTAAGGAGAAAAATCATGGCTTTTCCTTGGATCCTCCAAAGGGAGGATGAGACACATTTAAATTTCAAGAAAATGAAAATCGTATGTTTCATTGTATTTGCGCCCCAGTAAAGAATACCCCCTATGGTTTGCCGATTAACGGCAGTCACAGAAATTTTCATGAGACAAGAGACACCGAAGTGAGATGCTAAAAGATTTTCCAAGAAAGGCTCTCTGACTCTACAATCCCCTTGGATAACACGGATCTCACGCGATAAATTGATAGCGCGAATAAAGTAGATTTCATGAGGTCGCAATAGTAATATCCATCTAGATTTTACGAGGTGACTACATAAAGTCATGGAAAATCTATTGTGCCGTATAAAAAGACGAATTTAACGTTCTTAATGGACGATTGGGAATTTTTATGGGTTATTAAGGATCGTGGTGTATCGAATGCTACGACCATATATAATCAAAAATTGATATAATACTCTGATTTATCGATACTTATACGCGCATTAACAGGAATTTATCTGAACATTGCATATACAGGGTTGTTCAACCGAGACGTACCATCTAAATATGGTTTTATAATTATAATCAAATAGTAGCGCAAAAATTTCGCTGATACGTTCGGTCTGAACAACGCGGTATATTATATTCTGTGGGTCAAAAGATTAACACTATAACTCCCGAAGGTAGAACTCGCGACCAGATACATTTTGTACCAGAGTGCATAATTTCATATCTTAGAGGCCTATAGATGTATATTTTAAATTGAAGAAATAAGTAAAAATTCACAAAATTTTTTTTTTTCTTATCTTAAAGCAGTCTTATCTTAAAGTTTTTTTATCTTAAAGCAGCGAAAAATACATAATGGTTAATATGCGCTCTGGTATAGAATGAACCTGTCGTGAGCTCTAATGCTAGTGATACTATATATTCATAGCCAAGCACGGTATACCATACGTAAAAATGCTAGTGAATTTTTGTGAAATGAGGAGGGGCAGAGGGGTAAACGCTAGAGTCGATTACCCCATGGAAGTAGATTTATTAATCGTATAATAGTAATAAGCAAGCGAATAGAAAAATATGCTGGCAGTACAGTAGATATAGGGACAAAACCTTGAAAAACGCGAGTGGATTCTTCCCACTAGAATACACTATTGTGTATTTATACACTTTTAATCGTTATACCGTATATATATTTTTTCTCTCTTCCTCTGATATTCGCGTCTGGCTTAATATAGAATTTCTAGTAATTTTCCTGCTATTTCAAGTTCTCAACTAATTCTCAACTATTTTTTTTTTTCCATTACCGAATTTCCTACCCTAATTAACCTCGCGGAGGGAAAGCACGTGTTAAATAAAGCGTTTCATAAATATACACGGGTAACATCGAACTTGCACTCCAATAGTCCTGTAAACCGATAATACACACTGCGCCAGTTGTAATTGGATGTCGTAGAGTTTCGATTCCCAATTGTCCAATCGGAAGAGAAGATATGCGGTCGCTCGTTATTGAACTGTTTCGATTGCGTTTGCTGTACAAAAAAAAAAGGAGAATACAGATTGTGAAAGTGAAATAAATTAAATTATATCAAGACACATAGATATTTACTCGAGGAGTAAATAAAAGAAAGAGCAAAAACAAGTAAACGAAAGAAAGAAAATTCGTGAAACGCCCGTTTAATTGATAACGTCAAAATAGCCATGAAATATTTTTCACTACAAATTTAAGAAAATTTTCATTTCGATTCTTTACTTATAATTTTGTTCTTTGTACTTTCTTTTATATGCGAGTACTTATTCTCTTGTTTTTTTTTATATTTCGTTACCTGCAAAACTTAACGATCGTCAGTATCAATGCGAAGATGTTCGTATACGTGGAAATAATTAAGAAGAAGAAAAAGCTCAATTCACTTTATAACTGTCAACAGTACTCGTAAATGGCTGACAGGGCACGTCTGTGTCTGATCAAACTGCACGTCTCTAGCCTGAACTAGAAAAAAACTACATTACCGACTGAGTTCACTTCAGGCTGCTTCGACCTGACTAGATAGGGCTGACAGGGCTGACCGTCTATAGCCTAGGATACTTACAAGTTCTATTTGTGGTACGAACAAAATATATGATATAACGCATATCGGTATATCATACGAAATCTTAGTCTTATATGGTCAATAGAGATGGGCAGAAATAAATGAACTGTCATTAGTCACAATGTGATATTCTATCTCACAATATTTTTCCACCGTATGGCAAAGGAAAAAGAAATCTTTCCACCGCTCGATCAAAATTGAATAGTATATCACGACCGTACGATACATGACAGTATAACATATAGAACACGCATATGTAAATGTAAAAATGTCGAAATTTACAGCGAGTTGGTCCGAGTGAGATCATCGTGACGGGCCGGACAGTGCAAAATTCATTTGCGTGCATAAATAACGGAAATAATAAAAATGAGATGGAACGAATGTACAGAGTAACAGTTAGAGGATGATATAAAGGGAAAAACAAAATATTTTTTTTACACACGTTTCGAACTGCGGGTAATCGGTGGCGTGGGATTTGGGGTAAAAATGAAAAAGCTCGAGAATATTTGTATAACCATCAGTTACCTGGGAAATATGATAAAATTTACATGTTGATCGAGAATATCGAAACTAGACGATTTAGTGTAGCTCGATACCTATGAAATATAATCCTAATATATGTATATCAATAACGTGAAATATAACACAGGGATGTATTTTGATTCAACCAGACTGACGTAATGACTTATCGACTTCAAAGATAAACTACCTATAGCCGTATGACTTTGTGTACACTTTAGTGACTTTAATGAAATATATTACGTCATTGCTCAACAGAGTCAGGTCTCCTAAAGCTCTGTAAAATCGGTAGCTGCAATCGTTCTTAGATGCCAATTTGCCTGAAACAAGGATATCACAGTGAACAAACCTTAGCGCAATTGTGGTTAGCATTGTGCGTATGATTTCTGAAGAAGAAGAAACTGCCTCATCAGTCTGAAACGTTTTTGTTAAAAAAGTTTTTGCCCACGAAAATTGTATGATTAAGACGATGCCGTAGAAACGAAACATTAATTCAGATCTTTTCATCAGAGTCCGCCAAATTGAGTGTTGGTTACCTTGAGCCCTTTGAATTGGTAAAATTAGGTTTCACGTTTCCAACCCCCTTTTGATAGCCGCGACCCCCTAGCCTCCCCCCTTCCTCTGCCACCCTTCTGATACACGGTGGCTCTCTGTCGTTCCAACCCACCCACCCCTAGATAGGTCACGGCGCCGCGTAGCAGCTTGGTCGACGTGTGTAGCGTAGGGGGTGCAAACTTCAGCAACAAGCACATGACATAATTAATGGGGTTTAATATTTCTACCTTGTTAACTAGCATGGTGTGTATTACGAATGAATTTCCTGGTTGGTTACAGTACGCGTGTATACCGGTCACGTGTCCCCATAGTGAATTTGAAATTTGCTATTTGCTGATGTCAATAGGCTTTCAACTCCCTACGTTAGTCAACCTATTAAGGGTCCTAAATAAACCCGACTCCCCCTATGGCTATAGATTGCGGAACAACTTCCTATACCCGTTGGTAAGACATTTTTTGGATTGGGTAACTTTTTGGCGAATTGCTAAATAAATATAAGTGGTAATGGACAACGATTGATATTAAACCCTTAAACGATAATTTCAAAATTTTACCTGCTTTGGACTACGTCGTCGCCCCCGGTAGTTTGATTTCACGATGAAAACTCGTGGAAACGTTTTTCACGTTAGGCGATCACTGATTACCAATTATTTATAGACGGTGTAATACGACCTTTATGTTAAATCGAGAGTCTGGCAACAGTGCAGGCGGCTTACGTCAGCTTAACTTATATGGACTCTGATATACAAAGCTTGTAATATCATCAGGATAGTTAGCTAGATCCTAGTATAGCATAGATGCTTGATAATAGACTATATAATATTAGCAAAATCTACTCCATGTATATATTGTGACGAGGCACCCGCCTCGCTACGACCCTGCTAGGCCGAGAGGCCCCGAGTTGTCGCGGGACCCGGGAGTGCGAACGCGAGGAGCAAGCGCGTCGACGAAAAAACCAAAGGAAAGAGACGAGGCGAGCACGGTGTGAGAAAGGAGAGATAGAGAGAGATAGAGAGAGAGAGAGAGAGAGAGAGAGAGAGAGAGAGAGAGAGAGAGAGGCAGACGGAGGATAAGTGGAATAAAGAATCCGAAAGACCCCAGGAGAGGCACACAAGTACGTAACCACGCTTATAATGGCTGCAACGTTACTGAACATACCGACCGACAGATTGACGGACATCCCCATCCAAATACACACCCACACTTCCACCACACATACTAAGCCTTAAGGTGCGCGACTAGGTTAAGATAGTTTTAAGATATAATTAATTCATGAGCTAACAAACTCAGCCATGCCACAAAACTTCCACCACAGCTTACAATATATATATTATATATAACAGCTTTCGATATTATTAGTTGTACGGTATAAAATAATTTAAAAAACCGATTACAAACAGTAAGACAAAAAACTATAACCAGAAAACTACGGTACACGTACTATACTCATAGCGATTATTCATTTTGATTTTGTCGTTCGTGACGTGCACCACCCTTATCTCCAGATATAAAAAAAAAAGTAAGCAACTCGTCATCACGTTGGCGACAACTACGAGAGGCCATACTTGGCCTTACGTAAATACTTGGATGCAATTTTATCTCTTCCCAACCCTTATCATCAATCCTCTAGAAAATCTCTTCCATAGATGGCTTCCCTGTAGTCGAATCGAAACCTACCCTTCGATGGGACCGAGGGTAAATCCTTAACCTAACCTAAACTGACACCCTGAAGGTATGAGAAAACGTAGTGGCAGGAGAAGGAAATCTAACCCCTTTTTTTTCACCTTCAATCTCTACCACGGATCCTCCCATTCATACCAATTATTGCTCGATGAGGTCTAGAGATTTTTTTGACTGCGTAACTTATATCTTTAATTCGGAATTGAACTTACCAATGATTATTATCCTGCGAGCAGAGTCATTTTTGTTAGGTTACGTTGCACGGGCAGTGCAGTCCGTGAATTATTTGTTTAATGGCCGATTTAAAGAAATTTGTATTAAAAGTTGATAACTCAAAAATTATCAGGCTGACGTTGGTTAGGAAAATTTCTGTATTACCACTTGAACACGTGTTAATACAATAATCCCCACCTTCTCCTTGCCCCTCTGCCACGTCAAGGTTCACGGGAACAGTCGGGGATTCCGTAACGAGTCATCGACATTTATTGCGCAGAGTCGCTTTCGGTAAACGAGCAATTAACAATGGGAACACGTGCGAAGGGGTTGGAAAATGGGTGTAGATTGACAAGTGTGTTATCGCACGCCATCTGTATACAGTATATCGCGAATAAATATGTCCGATGACCCCCGAAATTTTTCACGCGAGGATTGACCGTACGCGATCGAAGAGTGAGAGACTGAAAATGAGCTTTGGAAATAAAAAAAACAATGATCTAGTGATATTCCCCAGACCGGGGAAAACGTTGGAGAGTATGAAAACGGATTTCGATTCGAGAGTTTCTACCCTAGGAGTGTGGGCTATCTCTCAGAGCACCGGTGGCAAATGGAGAAAACAGGAGTTGATTCCTTTCTTCCCCCTTCCTTCCGCCAACCGCCAGCCATTACCCTGGCGAAGGTATTCTTTCGTGGCTTAAAGGTGAAATAAATAAGGTGAGGGGGAGTGGAACGAAATGGTGTGTTTCTCGTCGGTACTCTACAAAGGATCCTTTTCCACTGAACCCTTTGGTCATGCACCCTACGTTTGAACCACCTGCAACCCTTTTGTACAGGTTGAACCCTAAGCTGGCGTAAGTTCACTCCATTCGCACTTGAAGTCACTGATTTTATATTCAAGCTCTCCTTTACCCCTTTTTCTTATTCAAGCTCTCTTCTCAGTCCGTCTTTTCGTACTGCCGTCGGGGGCGGAGGGGTGGGGATGGGGGGTGGTAACTACCTTGCGCATTCCTTTTTAGTCGGGTACAGCCATAGTGACGCCCCACCGTACTCGTATGCAATCCCATTATGAAGGCTCCATTGCGCCACGTGATATTCACACCCCTACGAAAAAGCTCTTCTACACCCTTTGCGTCGGGGCTGATGTGTTTTTCTACTTTTTCCCATTGCGCAGTACCAGCGTTCGCGGGCATGTACGATTAAACGATAGCAGGGCGATATGAGTTGGCGTGAAAATTTGAGAAAATATTTAAAAATTGAATTAACCCCTCAGGGAAAGTGTAGCGTGAATAAATTATTAGAACGTTCTGTGTCTTGCGATATCATTTTTTTTGGGGGAAAAGTAGTATTGACTTAATATACGCGTATCAGGTGTACTTCGAGGAAACACATTACCACCCCAAGGTAACGTTAATAACCAATAACAATGTTTTTTATATGCGGTGCGATGAAAAAAAAAAGTCACCCCTAGCGTGTCGCGCTACTTACTGGTACACGTAATAACTTAATTCTCTATCGATCCAAGCTAACTGGCAGCCACGATCGCCATTGCAAATCTCGCAGGATGCGAAAAGGGTTGGTTGCACGATAGCTAACACGCGAATATTGGCAACACAATGTAGTTGACTACTATATTGGCACTCTGTCCGGAACAGCATCACGGGGGTGAGCTGGGACTTTCTATGGAATATTACCAAATGGTATTAACCTCTGCCGCGGATGGACTGAAAGCCAATATTTTTTATATTAATTTAATAAAGGTTTTTTTTTTTCATAGCTTCTATGATTTTTTTTTTCCTTTTTATCGCCTAACAAGATACGGAGTTTCTTTTTAATATTTATGTTAAGCTACATTCAGTTTTTAAAACTTTGAAGGGTTTCCAACTTTCGTCAACTCAAATTGGTATGAAGAATTATCGAAAAATAGTCGTCAACTTTATTTTATATATTTCTCTCGTTGTAAAACGTACGCTTTATAGTATAAATTTTCCTTGTCGCGTCTCAGGTATCAGGAAACCCCACCAAAATCCTAGTGAATTCCTGCAATTTCCCCAAGATCTTACGCCGTCTGCTTCGCTCCGCGCATTTGAGCGAAGGAATAGGTAATGCGCGCGTGTTAATTGATTACATTTCATAAATATGCATGAGTCTCTGGTATATACCTACGTGTATACCTATCCAACGTAGGTTGGTACCCTACATTAGGTACCGACATTACGTCCCTTCTAACTTTCTCGGCTAAGTTTGCGCGTGTCTGAGACTAGTTGGCGAAATTAAATTAAACGCGCAAACCCGGCGACAATGTTCGTAACCTCTGAACGTCCGAGCATCGTCTCGTTCGCGCATAGAAATCTAGTGACTTTCGAAGGGTCCGCGGAGCCGTTAATCCGGCGGCTGAAGAATTTTTGAGACTCCAGTTTAGCGTGATTGCGTAATTCCCAGATAATTTTTTTCTTTATTGTTGAGCCTAGAAATTCGCAAATTTTCACCAATGTCATCGGAGCTCAAGGTGAAAACGATCCCACGAAAATTCCCTAGATACTAATCAGACTCTTTCGTGTCTTATGCTTGCAGACGTCTTCGCGATCAACATCACCGGTGTGGATATACCTCATCTGGTCAAAGCCGGCACCGATCAGCCAATAGTGCTCGACTGTAACTACGTAATAAATTCATCAATGAATACCGAGCTGGTGATAAAATGGTACGTCAATCAAGACGTGATCTATCAGTGGATACGCGGCAACAAGCCGACGGGTTCCGACGAATTTCACAAATATATCGACCCCTCGTACAAGGCTAGCGAGAATCCGGACACCATGTACAGGGCGGTCAAGCTCGTGAAACCGGGACACGATCTGACCGGTAAGGTGCGCTGCTTAATATCGACGCAGTACGAGGAAGCCGAAGCCAGTGGCTGGATGCTTGTATACTGTGAGTATCATTTGAGCAATGAAACGTAAGTTTTGAATTTGCACTGTGCACTGTTGACCTGGGGAATATATTTTTAACAAGACCTGGGTGAAAATAGCGCCAGAGGATCCTGAGAGACCATCGTTCTTGGTTAACGTCAACCTTACCAGATTCCCATGACATTAATATAAAGTGAAATTGTAACGTGGTCTGTTTCACTGATATTATCAAATTTATTATAGTTGGGAACTTTATTAATTAGCCGCAAGTTACTAAGTAGCCCCTGCTTGGAACTTTTTTCTAGACGCCGAATACTTCGTCCCAACTTTTTCCATTGTTCGCTACGACCTTTTATAAGTATATACAATGCGTAATCGGAATGGTAATTTATATACGTATATGACCAAAGCGAATACTACAGTCACCGTTTACATCCAGGACGGAAGTATTGCATCTGTCGCTCGCGGTTTAGCTGGCGTTATGTGGCTACTGTTTATGTACGTAGGCGTTTGTCGAGCAACACACCCCTTTTCTCCCCTAGGCTACTAACCACCCCCCATTCACGGGGCTATTCGTTGGCTTATGAAAAAGATCTGACACCTAACCCACACTGCTACCAATCCTATCTGCCACACGCACACTGGAAGGTACCATATTAGAGTTGGGACCTCAACTACCCTATGAATATGGATGAATTATGTGGCTACCGTAACCCCGACCACCGAGCCTTTAGTCAACCACTTGCGGCGGGGTGTGTACACTAATGCATAAAATTTTATGCGATGTGCATTTTAAAAAATATCTAGGTACGAAGGAGCTAGTGGAGTGACGGCGCGAGTCCTTTATGAAGGAACGTGCAAGGGCGTTGAGAGCGAGTGAGAGAGAGAGAGATAAAGAAGGAACACCCGGTTCGTAGGAAAATTGGTATGAAAATGAATTTCGGCGTTTACCCTGCGTCTCGGAAATTTTTCTTATGGGAGACTCCATGGAATATTAAATTTTTTGGGATTTCTTCCGCATCGTGTGACACACGATCGTGAGGGGTTAAACGGAGAATTATCGTTGGATCGTTAAATAGGGGTTTGCCCGACATTGGTATTTTTACGTAAAAAGAGTGAAATTGCCCTGAATTTTGTAGCGATGATATTTTTAAAAAAAAATTTTTTTAACTTTTATTTCAGCACCAGAAACGGACTTTCGGTGGGAAGTCCGAAGGGGCTATGGAGATTCGCATCAACTCGCGATGATTTGCACGGCGGAAAACTTGTATCCGCGGCCAACAATGAGGATACTTCAAGACAGGTAGGTCCGAACAATAGAACGGAAGAGACTCGGCATGAAATTGTCAGCAGGGGCAGTCTCAATGGAAATCGTATCTGTATAGTTGAAAGTGATATAAAACAGGAGTTGCTAGGGCAGGAAAATAAAAATTGTTATTTTATGGGTGGGAAATCGAGCAACGTCGACGAAAGTATCTTTGATGGATTTCGAAATCTGGGTAAAAAAAGGGGGGGGGGGGAATTTTATGAATCGTTAGATTTGCGAGATTTGGTCCATCATTTTTCCGATCCTGTTCCCCGTTGGTAAATGCGCGACCAGCCACGCCATACGGTAGAGGAGAATGATGTAAGAACGTGGGACAAGGCGCCATTATGGTCTTGCCAGTCCCAGATGAAGATGCTCAGCCTACGATAAAATGTGAAATACGAGGAGAAACGTCGTGCTCTGATAAGACGTATCGCGAAACGCGAGAAATTGAATGGACCCCTTAGAATACTGCCCCCAAATGTTCAACCCCTCTGGCATTCACGAAGAGAGGAAACTTGGTACGAGTTTCTATCGAAACCCACGTTGGAAAAAAAAGTAGCCTCGGCATGGTCCCTAAGGAAAAAAGTCCAATCCCTGGATGACTTTAAAAAGAATATATCGAAACAGGTCGGGATATGCTGAAACACGAAGTCCTTGCGTTTTGCATAGATATGGAGGTGGTTTTAGTTTTAAAAGGAGAAGGGAAAAGCTAGACATTTTTTTTTACCATTTCATCATACTTTCTTGTTACAGAATTCCCCTTGACGATCAGAAGCATCGTTATCGAAACAAAAGTGACGGTCGCTACGACGTGGAGACGCTGGCGATTCTTAATGCGAAGGAGATCAAACTACCCATCACAATGCAGTGCGAAATATCTATACGGGAAGCCAATTACACTTCCGTTCGAGAATACGTGTACAATGGTGAGATACCAAAGAAGAAAAAAAAAAGCGAAAAATCTATAACAAATTTTTCATCTAGAAATTTCATGAGTTACATTCAGAATTCCACAGCGGCATTTGTCCCAAGTAGAACCTAGCCCTAATGTTACAAAGGCGTGAGGACGAAAGAAACAAAAAATTTAAAAAGTTCAGGTAAAAGCAACTACTGCAAAAACCTGACGTACATTTTTTACCTTTTTCTTTTCACGAACCCAACTCCACCGGAAGCCCTGTCATATTCTCATCTAAACCCTCAAACCAGCCAACCCCCAAGTGGGCGAAGCCTTGGGGTGGTGAAATTTAATAATGGCACGCCGTCGTAACTTTCAAAGATCACGCCGAGCCGGGTTATTAAATTTTCGCCGTGTGCACAGTTGCAATTTCCGCCATTTTTAACTAACCGCTTAGCTTATTAGTGTTTCGTGTCCGCGGTACGTTTTCCGTGATGGAGGAAGGGGGGGTGGTAGAAGATGAGGGGGAGTGTGTTTGGTAGCTATTGTCGCAAGTTAGGTTAAAACTCCACACAGATCGAGGTTGACGATAAGAATTATTTTTCAACCTTTTCTCCGCTCTTTTACTCACTCTTGTTCAAGATTTTCGGCCAAAACTATTCTTTCGGTGGACCCTATATGTATACCCTATATTCCGTGGACTTTCTGATGTATTTTTTTCTTCCTCTTCGGAGCCGTAAAGATTCTCGTAAAAAGACCTCTCCTTTAATCAGTGTACATTCCCCCACGTAATAGGCACGCTAACCATTTATTACCTGGCCGGTCTGGTTAAACGAGGGCCATATCTACTCTCGTGACTGGCGACATCTCTATACGGAACTGGAAATATAATAAGAGACTTTCCCTGCTCTTGAAGCTTTGCACGAATACGTGAATAGTAGGTCAGCATACTTATATATATATATTTAAAAAATTTTAAATTATGTACAAAGAAGCTCGTATCGTAACCTTTGTAAATTTTTGAAAAGCTTTCGCGTCCTTACCTTCCCCCACGGTCTCCCACTCATGAAAATATTATACGGTGATTCTCATGTGACCTTCAAAATAGGATACCCCTACCACAGGACCAGTATATCGTAATCAGTCGACTGCCGTGACGGACGCGTGCGAGATGGAGCTTTGCGAACAGGGTCGAAAACTTATGTCGTAAAAAAAAAATCTTTAACTCCATGCATACGCAGAAAGGTATGTATGTTAATACGTACGTTTAAAGTCACGTGAGAAAGACAGGGTTGTTTATTAGCAAAACTTAAGTCAACGAGGGGTAGTTCCGCACCACCATGAAGCGTACAAAGGGGTGCTGTAGAATATGGCAATTTTGAGGGGGGTCGGAGGGAAGAGGGGTGGGCCGAAATAGCGTACCCGCAAGTTATAAGTAGGTGGCGCCGGAGGTCATTGGTTATTAGAAAACTGTGTAGGTGGATATAAAGGGTGAGGGGTGAAAACAAGTTAAAGAAACCGCAACGCAGCCACCGCGGAAATGCCACAGTGACGAGGGCTGCTGCAGATAGGCAGAAATTAGCAAGCGGCCGTAAAGGCTGGGTGGCAGCGTTGTGCCCGGAAACTCTCTCTAATTTGCAAAACAATCGTTTGCATCGTAACGAGGGGTCGTGGGGGGTGGCGGATGGAGGGGCGGCTGCCGCGAGCTCGAGATGAATTTTCACTAGGCTACGAGGGATATTCCACCGCCACTCACCTACATGACGCAACACTGACTTCAGCCACTTTCTACATTACGCCTCTTGAAGTTTCTGACTCTTCCACCTTTTCTCAAGACCGCGAAAAAGACAAGGCAGAGAACAACAGAGAGAGAGAGAGAGACCAGCAGAAACTGGCGCGACCGTTCAGACGAATTTACCTGCCTCTTTCTATCGGCGAAATGCCCTCACGCGTTGCACGCTTTTACTTTTCATCGGTGTTGTCGCAAATAAAAATTCAGATAACTTCGCGACGATTTATGTTCACTTCCGGTTGGCTGGAAATGCTGAAAAATCGTCCGATAACGCGAATCGATCAATCGAGCTGACGGGAAATTCGTGAAAAAGTCATTGAAATAGGAAACGCTCGGACTTTGGTGGCTTTTTCAGAAGCTTTTTCATAATGCATATTCGACTATATGAACTTTAGTGGTTTTTTCTTTCACTTTTTTTTTGTCGCTTTCTCTCTCTCTCTTTCTCGCGTTATCTCTCTGATATCAAAAACCTAATCCGTAAATGCGATTAGTTGCATAGAAATGACAAATTTCCAGTAAAATTATTATTCCACGAATTGTTGTTGAATGCAATGCTTTTTTTTTTCATTGTTTTGCATCTCATTCGGTCTCTATCGCGATCCGTCCGCACAGTAAGAAGCTTATAGAGCGTTGTGTGCTTTCTATTTGTGCGCTGTATGCGCAAATATTTCATAGGTGGAATATGGACGTTTCAGTGTATACATATAACAGACAAAAATAGTGCAAAGATTACACGGGATTTGCCTTATATTGAACTGGAGCGACGTTGAGAAATCTAATAATGTTCCTTATTTTGAGAAACCTAATTAAGTTGACATTCGGTACAGACCAGAGGGGTTCGATTTTTTGTCAGTCAAGTATATCTCCCTCTTAATGTTACAACGAGGCGCATCAACTGACTCCTATTTCAGGAAATCCTCAGGCGAGCTTCATTTGGTCCGACAGAAAAGCCGCTGCTGTCTGGCCAAATCATAGTAGCCGCAAAACGACCGCTAGAACTGTCTCGATGAACGGCGTTTCCTGCATGCAAAGCATAGTCATAGTAGGACGAGAATCAGTTGCATTAGAAATTTCGGATCAGCTCTTCTGTCACGAGACACTGTCACGTCGCAGATAGTAATCCCTGTTCTATAATGGCTGTCCGTAACAAAAACGGGAGTGAGTACAAAACTTTCCCCGTTTTCAAATCAATTACACCGCAGTTTCCTTCTATGGATTTTCTTTTCGATTTTTATAATTCATATGTGCATTGTTCTTTGAAATGCGTACCTATACAGTCCCTTTCACGTCAGAATCCGTGCAATTTGACTTTCCAGCTTTCACAGTCCTCTATGGTGAATCCAATCGCAATACCCTGCGCCAGTGTCAATAAGGATCGAGTGAAGTCGCGTCGTCAAGGCTCTTTACTAGACAACTTAATCTCGTTCCATATGAAATGCGATTTCATGTACCCTGATCAGGGTGTCATTAGGTCTTCGTTATATATCCGACAAAGCAATTGTGCGAAACTCTGAAAGTGCTCATTTTCCGTAACCCTCTTAGAATTTCTACCGGAGAATCTTGATTCATCCATCATTAAGAAAGATCTCTTTCGTTCTAGGGAATATTCTCGCGAAGCTTATGAAAAATCAGCGGAAGTCCAAGTGATTACAAAAATTTTTTTTTATGTTGACATGATGAGCTTCCCTCTTTTCATTCCGTTAATCCATCCCCCACAAAGCTCCTGTAGGGTATCGCCAGGACACAGTGACGAAAATCGCACAATGACTAAATGGAATCTCCGGTAATTTAGCTTGGGGCTTTAACTCAATGAAACATTCCCCTAGTACGAAAAAGATTTCGCGATACGGTGTTGGGGAGCGGGGTGGGGGGGGGAAGGGAGAATTTCATAGCAACTTGATAAAGACGATGTTCCACAGAAAGGAGGAGGGGGATGATGACGCAAATGAGAAAGAGAAAAAATTAAGGGATGAATAGGGAAATGGCAAATACCCTATGGATTTTCTTGCTGGAGTTAAAATTTTATGCTAATCACCCATCCAACGTTCCTATTAATAATGTATTCAATAAGGCTTGTGTACCTTTTCCTACCAGTTTTCCTTCTGCCGGTTTCGTTCGCTTACCCTCTCCTCCATCCCCACCGCTACCGCCGCCACTGCCGCCGACATTTTTCCCTTGCTATTCTTTCTTTTTTATCAGCACTTTCTCCACCTTTCATCCCCTTTCTCTCGACTCGTCTGGCTGGCTGACAAGGTAACTGAAATGACACGGAGGCGTCGTAGGAGATGGCGACTCTTCATTTAAAAACATGAGAAAGCTGCCGGGAGACGAGAGAAATGTAAGGGCGGGAGGAGGGGTGGACGGCGGGAGAAAGAGAAGTAGAAAGGGGCTGCTAGAAGAAAGTAGAGCGCGAAGCAGACACCGCGAAATGCTAGCAGAATGTTAATTTTCAGCCAGCCGATTCAGGATTATCGTCTTTTCTACCCCTCATCCTCGCCTGCCCCCACCCCCCACCACCCGATCTGTATTGCGACATGAGTGCTATTTCTATCTGCTGGACAATTTTGCAAGACGGAAGAAGCTTATTCTCTACTAGCAGTCAAAGATATGTGTATTTTCATGTGTAAAGAAGAGAATATGTAAAACCAAAAGACAATTCGAAAAATCAAATATGTTTTGGGTAGATGCTAGGAATATTGTGTCGGTGCAATGTCAACGAAATGTTACTAGATTAAGTAGCGAAAGGTAACGTTGCTGTTTCCATGAATTTAGTGTCATTTAGGTGACATATCATACTAATGTTCGTCAAGCAGATGCGTCGTTTATGTATGTTTTTGAAAAAGTTAATTTATTCCTTTTCAGGAGCCAATCTTCCGGGACTGTCATCTTTGCTGGTAATGGCAGGACTCATAACAACTAATCGTCAATAACTATGAATGATTCCTAAAGAGTTATAATAATAATAATTGATAATTAAATCGATAATGAAATTGGCGCTTTTAATTGTTTAAGAGTGTTTGTCGGTATGCTTGCGTTTCGAAAGGCATTTTTTTTTGAATTCGTTAAATATACGAAAAAAAATTAATTTACGCCGAGGAGAAGGAAACCAAAATTTCACTTCTCGCTCAAAAAGAAAAAAAGATTGATGAAGCTTAAAAAAATTTTCGAAATGCTTACAGCACAAACATTGGGATATACGGATTTTATCTCTGGGTACAATTCCCTGGACAATATGGTGATCTTGTACAGTGACGTCATTTAAAGAAAAAATTAACGTGCCCTACCTACTAGGTTAAAACTGGAGGAGGTCCTTTACGTCGACGAAATATTCACGGTCGATATTCCAAATTTGATTTTCCTGAAAATTGTTGCCTGATCGGTTCCAACAATTTGATAACAAACGTTCGCCCGAATATTTTTCTCGCCATGACATCTCTACAATATAAGATACATTCGTATATTCCATTGAGTCGTGCTGAAAAACGCGGTAGCCCAATTGAAACGATTTTCACGCGATCGGAAAATTTTCAATCAAAAAGTTTTATGCTAGTCAATGCGTCGGCTATTGTTGGCGCCAAGTCATTACTACGTATGTACATAATATCGATACACACACACAGGGCACACAATACCTCCTTATGCAATTGGAGAGATATCGTAATTACATATTGATTACGTATTAATTAGCTTGCTTGGACAATGAAGATTACGACGAATTACTATGTATTAGTATGAAACTACATAATTACGTATATTGTGTGTATATAAATATACAGAATGGCTAGATTGAGGTAGGTATGAAAATGGGCTCTGCTCACAACGGGAAACTAGAATAATTAAAAAAGAAGAACTTGAGGCATCCAACGTTAGAATTTTTGAACAATCTTAGCCCAGCGTAACCATTTCCGAGCCCTTCACGGTAGAGCGGAGTGGCTGAGAGTGGAAACTTTTTGGAAAAATGCGATGTGACTGCCGCTTTATGGTTCCCTAAGTAGTCGTTGCGATAAAACAAAAAACTTCGGGGACATTCCTGGAAGTATGAAATTCAGGTAACCCTGGCAATCTTGGGAGCAGCCTTTCTGTATATTTATTATATGTATAGGTATATTTATATGTATATAAATTTGTCAAAGAGCAGTTTCGAGGACGTATGGCACTCACAACGGCAAGCCAATGTGGTTTTTTCTAAAACAAACGAAAAAGTATACCTTGGGACATGTGACATTGGAGTTCTAACTTAATCTAACCTAAGGAAACCATTTGTTAGCTCATCAAAACTCCGAGTGTGTACCATAAATAATTTTGTTGGAAAATTCAGTGTGAGTGTCGCTTTATGGTCCTGGCAGTATACGTTACGTATCAAAGTACTTCTAAGCCCCCATCCTGAAAAACATCAAGTGTCCCCATAACTGTCAATACTCAAGACAAAAAGTCCTCGAAACTACCCTTTTGATAAATTTATATGTATATGTGTGTGTATATATATATATATATATATATATATATATATATATATATACATATATGTGTATATATATCATAGACTGATACGAGAGAAATTAAATTCGGTATTTACGTGTCAGAGAAATTAAATGAAATTATTTATTCTATTTAAAGTCCCCGTTGGTGGTTATTGAATACAGGGTACGATTAATTAATTATAATAATAATGATTTATTAATACGATTAAATGTGCGCGATTTTTATTCTTGATATCCTTCCAAAGGTTTTCAAAATTTCTTGTTGAGGAAATGTTTTCATCCTATGTCAAAATGTTAAACGTAAACAATTTTTAAAAGACGGAGAATATTTGAAAAAAAATTTGTTCAGAGATAATCGGTAATGGGATATTAGTATATATAAGGTTGCGTTCAAACATTGCGATGCCTGGAATATTTACAATTTGAAAATGTTTTGTTGTTGTCCCACAATCAGAGATCTCTGTTCGCAAATATTGATTATGTGCAAACGAATGTGAAGCACGCTTTTTACTGGCACACAAAACAGTATCAATAACCAAATCTCGATATTGATTTTAATTAACGGAAGGATCAATGAGATGAAATATGATGAATGTCTATTTCGCAAATTTTTATATATCGAAACAGATAGATAAAGTGTAGCTTTTAATCGCAAAAGAAAAGCAAATTATACAATATCTAGTCCATAATCGGATATTTCCAATTTTGAGAAATCCCAATACCAATGACCTTTGACCCGTGAACCAGTGTGTGTGGTACGTTTATACATGCTTTACGTGAACCGAGGCCCCTTTTACCATTGTTTAAACAATTTAATGAACAACAAGCAGAGCTAAGTGCCACTCCTGTCGCAAATGCAAACAGTGGTACACGCGCGTATAAAGTGCAACTAGCACGAAGGCGCAGCGGCACCGTTGCATTGAACGCGAGAGGCTTTTCATGTAGCTCGAACGTGCAAAACGGAAGAAAAAGGGAGAAAAGGGATACGAATTTACATGTGAAATTGAAATTATTAAAAGAATCGAAAGAGAGAAGAAAAAAATGAGTACGAATTATCTAGGGACGTAGGTCAATTATTTCTATCACTCTCATTCCCCTTTATTTTCTCAGTATAAAAAAAAAAAACATGTTTCGATTAATATTTTTTGCACAAAAAAAAAGTATTTATTATGCAAATGTTGCGAAAATGTTTTTTTTTTAATTTAAAAAATGTGCTGTGATATAGGACATCTGATCTCACGGATATCCCGTCGGATCGCGTTGCCATTGATTCGACTAAAGTCGGACTTACTCGTTTACGGTATCGTTTATTGCGAATTATACGAATCCGCCTGTACGATGTTTATGTAAGTCGAAAGTATCGACAATGAAAAAAAAAAATGAAAAATAAAATAAATATGTATGTACGTCAAATGAGAAAGAATAGTTGGAGGGTGACTCATTTAGTGTGAGAGAGAAAAAATTTGATTCCCCCTTCATAAGGTAGAATATATTAATGAGGAAGGACAAAGAAGTCCAACGTGTATATGTGATATATGATCTTGGAGCAGTGGTCAAAGACGAAGAGAATCCTTGTGGAGTCCTGACTGTATAGCTATCACTCCTGAACAAGACTTTCCGGAGTCCCTCAATGCTACCAGCGTACAACGTTACTGCAACTAGCCTGGAACCCTCATGTTCTTCCTATTGTCCCCAGGCTCCGTATCCGGTTTCCTCATAGCAAAGTCCTAATGGGTTATCATCCCCAGTGTAGCCCTTCGGAGCCGTTGGAGGCATAGAAGACACGCGTATGCTGTATACAGGTGATATAGTATCAGACAATATTGTAAGATCAAAATCCAATTTTATTTTCATAAATGAAATCTCCATAATAATCCGGTCAATGTATTTTTCACAAAAATATTATCTAACCGTAGAAACGCCTACACCAGAGGTCTCTGCATTTCCGTTACATGAGTTTCCACATAGCGTTACGCAAGAGAGGCCGAGCACTGTCTAGGGAATTCACTGACGGATTCCCCGAAGTCCGCAAAGTCACAGGGTTGCCAACAATGGTGGAAGAGAAATGGTCGAGGGAGTGGTTGGGGGGGGGGAGGGGGGCGAAGCAACAAGAGAAGACGCCTCAGGGCCAGAAAGTGTTGCGAGAATGTCGACGCTCCAGTATTCCTGCGGCGTAACGCGGCAGAACCGGTAACATACGATTTAATCCTCCCGTTTCTTTTTTTTGTCATTTAAATTTACTAGACTTTGCTACGTGCTTCCTGACTTTCGTCCTTTACACGGTATCCATCAGCAGCTGCGAGGTATGTATCTTGGAATGTTAACCAAATGTGTGGTAACAAATAACAATACTTGAAGGGCGATATTAATTAGAGGAATATTCGTGTTTGATAGAGGCAAATGAAAAATATGAAAACATTTATGTATATGTATATCGCAATTATTATAATATTATATTCAACTAATCGTACGAAGTGTATGTTAATTTAAATAATTCATTTGTGTTTCGAGATAGTTTTTACTTGGTTAGTTGAATATGGCCGTCGTGACGAGGACATCTACTTCTACAGTATCTATATCTACGTTAGTGACGTCACTCGTTCGTTTTTCAATAATTTTACCGTTTTTAACTTGTAATATTTTTTTTAGTATTCCATGAATTCACTGCGTTGGCATTATTGATATTCACTTAATATATCGTCAGTCCCGATTAATGCTCGTTTATTTACTCCCATTATATTTTTGTCCATGACATTGTTGGATTCGGCAAGTACAAATAAATTATGCATGGACACTCGTTCGACGGTGAATCATCGGTCATTATTTATCTAATTTATTTATTTAACATTGTTCAATACAAGGTAAACAGAAAATTGTACGTAAATGACTAATTGTTTAGTAATGTATTGAAATCCAAAAATCTTTCAGCTTAATAGCAATTATTTTCTTTTTGTATATTCAAAAATATTGGTGTAAGAATAATTTCACAAAAAATTGACTTCGTCAAGTCCTGTGCAATTTTTATTACAAATATATAGTATGACATACGGATAACTTACAACCACTACAATCTATTGTAATATATGTACATCTTCACCCTGCGGCAACTTAAGAAAATGAAAAAGATGCAAGCAAATCTCCTCTGAATTTTCATAATCCCCAAATATCCCTACGACTATCTCTACAATACCAATATCGAATTCCAATGTTGGCATACTAAATCTGCTAGGCCAGACGTGAAAAAAAGCATTTCCTATATGAATTACAGATGTGCCAACCTTACAGTTTAAATGCCCTAGGACAACTCGTGTATAAGAATATAAGTCTTCAGGGTGAGAAAAACATAGAAAGTCAATTGATGAAAAGTCACGTAACTCTAGCACAGAATATCGAGTGTTTTGCTACGTCAAAGCACCAGCATAATATTCGCTATTAACGTCTTGAATTACACAGCACGAAAGCGTTAAGGGTACGTACAGCCATCGTACGCCGCCATCTTGTGTTACGTTCCCTTCTTAAACTAGGGATGTATATAATATATGTAACTGTATTACACACTGTATTACCGTTATATTACAGACATGTACCTTTACTGTCTGTAGTGCCTCTATACACTCGTATCCAAACTATCCCACACATCTCTAGCATGGGGGTTCGGTACTAAATTTACGTGGGATTAAATCGTTGGCTGTTCTGCATCGTAGTAAATCGATGAGTATATGGTATTAATGAAAATCCATGCTTGTATAATCCGTAACGATATTGCTGTATAACGTGCGGTAACTGTAATGACTACCAAGCGCGGGTTGCGTGATTAATCAATTGATACAGTAACGAGGTATGTTAATTAATATATTAATTACATGAAAATCAGGTATCAGAAAGGATTTATATGGATGCGTTCGTACGATATATACATGACATTTTTCATTGATTCAATGTATATATATTGTAAACTTTATGGTTCGATGGGGTTCTCCGGATCGTGCAAATAAGGTTCGAATTGAAATATCGGTAATTTTAAAAAGGAAGATTATTAGGTTAAACTATAAATGAGAAAGCGTGAATTTCGTTAACAATACCAACGATAATATATTGTCCTAGTTCTGGATTACACTGGTGTTAAAAGGGAGGTCAGCCCAGCTACTGCTGGATGTTAGTAAATGGAATGCGGATTCATAGTTAGATTGCGTGAGATTGTTTTTATTGTATTTCTACATAAAACCAAATAGGTCTAACAAATAGTCCTATTACCGGTTGATTTGATTTTCTTGTCTGTGTCATGTGCTTTGTCATAAAGGAGTTATGCCTAAAGGCAGCCTCCGACTGGCGGAAGAGTTGACTCGTTAGAACAAGCGTCATGCAGTTGAGCAGTTTTCTAATAGGGAACTCGTGATCTCAGGTGGACGTGGTCGTATTTCAAAAACGTCGCTATCTCGGAGCAGTAAGAATGCTGTTATTCGCAGAGTAGGTAGTTGTGCAAACATTGTATGATAACGTATCTAGGGGAAACGGCACGACGACGAAACTTGTCAAAGTGACGTCCCAACTGAAATGCAGAGATTGATTCTATCTGGCATTGGAGGCGGTTTACTGCTTGCGCGAGACGGTTTGCTCGTTTCTTTCCTTTAAGGGTGGAAAAAAAAACAATACCGTTTTTCTATTTTTATTTTTTATCGAACATGGGAAGGATAGAAATAAATAACAATGGATCAATTGTTTGTCATACATTGAAGATTTACTACCAGTTTTTACGGAATAATAACAGAAGGAAGAGACGTTATATATTTCATGGAGATCCATGTACGAGATCCTTCTTGTTAGTGACAAAGAAATCTCTGGATGAAAAAAGGAGAAAAAAAGTGCACGCGTTTTGTTACGCTGTAAAAGTGTAATTTCCTTTGGACGTAGCGATTTTTCGAAATTTTTTTTCCGCGAATGGCAATGTACTATCGATAAAGTTCGAAATTTGACGTATATAAAAAGAAGAG